TCATTATCATCTAGCCAGTACACCTTCCAGTGTAACTGAGTCATTTAGCTCGATAACATGAAGCCAGTTAAGCTGTCTCACCTAGTTCATTATCATCTAGCCAGTACACCTTCCAGTGTAACTGAGTCATTTAGCTCGATAACATGAAGCCAGTTAAGCTGTCTCACCTAGTTCATTATCATCTAGCCAGTACACCTTCCAGTGTAACTGAGTCATTTAGCTCGATAACATAAAGCCAGTTGAACTGTTTCACCTAGCTCATTAGCATCTAGCCAGTACATCAACTAGTTGAACTGGGTCACTTAGCTTTAACATCAAGCCAGTTGAACTGTCTCATCTAGCTCATTAACATCTACCCAGTACACTATCCAGTGGAACTGAGTCACTTAACTCGTTAACATAAAGCCAGTTGAACTGTCTCATCTAGCTCGTTAGCATCTAGCTAGTACAATTAACCAGTTGTACTTAATTATCTGACCAGCATTAAGACAAATTCTATTCACTGGTTGAAGTGATTTTTTAAACTAGTTTGTATTGACTCATTTCCACTTTCCCGTACTATTGACTAAGTAGTTAGCACTATGTTAGTGTCCTCCAACTGAACTAAAATTGTAACTAGTTTTCTCACCAATTTAGTTCCATATCTTAGTAGTACTGACTATCTACTATTGTCAAACTACTACCATATTGTACTTCCCCTTACACAACTACAGATTATCACCAGTTTCAGTATCATTTTCCAGTACTAATGAAATAGCTAATAACAAACACAGGTTTGAATTATGTGTATGACATACTATTTACAAACTATTCTGGTGTAATATTTTCATAAGATGAATGTAAACACTGAAGCAGAGAAGGATAAAAAAACAGTGATGGCGAGGAAAATAACCAATAATAGAAGGAAATAAATGTTTACGTTTAATATGATATGCTAATATGAAACGCACGTGCTACAGGAAGTGTACTAATCTATCTATATATCTATACAACTGTAGATGTGCTCGTCTACTATATATCTAATAATTAATAATTAATATATATATATACACCCAGCTGTGAAAGCGTCCTCTACTAATCATGATACTTATGTCTTCGGTTTAATTTATAACTTTCATATCTTGGTTTATACTTGAATTCTTCGATGATGTTCTATTGGTGCGTTTAATGTTTTATATGGAGAATCACGGATTTACACACTATGGCCAGAATAATTTTGAACTTAAAAACACAACAAATTAAAGTGTGTGTGTACAGTGAAGTGTGCTTGGATGATAATAGGGAGAGCCCGATAGATACAAACAGCTTGAGATTTGTGAAATCTGAATAAAACTTTGATAGAAGTAATACTATATAGAAAGAGTTTCTGAAGTTTAAAACAAGATTATTTTAATTATTAAAATTCTAAGGATTACATGCTTAAATAGAAAAAAAATGAGTTGAAAATAAACTTTTAAGAACAATAAACTTTAAGTAAAATTTATTTTCAAACAAATATTGCGTTGATCGAAAGTCATATTAATACAGAATTATTCTTTTAGTTTTACTAGATTATTGCGTAAGCTAAAATACCTTGAAATACTGAATTGATTACAGTATTTAAGATTTAATTCGAATTATTCCTCTTCCAGTCAACAGAAATGAATAATTATAATTTCATTTTAGGCTTTCAAAAAGTCCAACATTCCCAGTCTCTATAGTGTAATAATAGTTTTTAATTGGATTGTCAAACGAGGCATAATCAACGGCTACTGAATATTTACAAATATATGCGGTCCTACAGTCAAGAGAGAAAATCTTACCTTTTAAGTCAGACGTTCCGTATCTGAGGCTAAGACAACTAGACCTGGCGCCAGTCTTACACCCTTCCTCACGCCTCACTCTCTTCGACAAATTTTACCCATCGATCGCGCAAGCGCTAAATCTGGCGGACAGCCAAGTTCCTGGCTACTACGCCTGCGCCAACCTACAATAGCGGGAATGTCTTTCCAAGTATATTTTTTTAGAATAAAATTATCTTTCTGTTTAGTAGAAAATCTAATTTCAGGATGGTGATGTCTTAATTACACGAATGAATTAAAAAAAAAGGTCCCGCTGCGAAGTTGACTAAAGCATTTTAAAGAAAAAATAAAGAAATGTCCCATGTCAACACTGGTGAAAACGTAAAATTACAAAACTTAACTTTATTTATAGCTTTGCATATTGAATTTACGCTAACGTGAACAATATAATCAGATTTAGGAATTTTCGTTCTTGGTATTTGCTCTGTTTTGAAGAAGTTGGGACAACTTCACCATGACTGAGATAGGTTTCGTCTGCATGGAGGAAACCCATTTTACGCAGACAAATAGTTTGGTATGACATAAAGTGATTACAGTATGTAAACATAAATATTAAACGAAATAATAGAAATTAGTTCGTCTTTTCAACATATTTGATATTCTTTAATTTTATGCTTTGAAAACAGGGTGGGGGGAAAAGTGACTTTACAGTTGTATCATATCAAATTATTGTTACAATTTAAATGGGAATACATTAAATGCTGTGGTTGAAGAAAAAGATCTTGATGTTGTGATCTAAAAATCACTTACGCCACCTAAACAGTATATATATTGTAGCTAGCTATAGGGCTACTAGGATTTTAGGTAGCATCTATAGAAATATTGAATATAAGACAAGGGATATTATTGTTTCATTGTGTAAATCATTTGTAAGACCTCAATGAGGGTACTGTGTACAGTTTTGTGCACCCTTCCTC